CTCTTTGCACAGAGAGGTAAGGAAGGGAGGACAAAGCAAGGGGGCAAACGCACGGGGTCAGGAGTGCAAACCCGAGAACCAGAGCGGCAGGGAGGCCGGGTCGACCTTGGCATTGGGAGGAAAACAAATACAAGCAAAACGAAGTTTCCAGGAGGCGTGCCAGACCATTTAGATGGCAATCTCTGGAATCTGGCACGGGCTCCCTGCTTCCAGAAAGTCCTCGCTGACCACCGGGCTCAGCTGCTGCTTTAGCTCTTCGTGGGGCCAGGACTCCGCCCTCTCCCCTCGCAAGGCCACATGTCTCTCCCCCCAAAGCTGGAGGCGGTGCCTGGCACACAGTGGAGACTCAACCTTGAGGAAAAGAACAGAAGATAGTTTAGATCTCCGCTCCGCGCCCCCAAAAAGGGTTCAATGTTTTTTGAAGTGAGATGGGAGGCTAGCAGTGGGTTGGAGCAGAGAACGGAGAAGTATGCAAATTAAAGTGGAATTCAGGTTTGATCCAGAGATGCCTGTGGTGTTCTGGCTCTGCTCCTGATTTCAGTGTTACAACGCGTGTTTCTGTCGGGGGTGCGGTGCGTTGTCGCGTTGTGTGTAGTGAACCCCCTGCGACATTTTCTCTTCTAAAACTCGGAGGCAGACTGGAAGGTCAGACACAACACCTTTGCTACAAATGTTTTGGTAATTTTAACAGCATTACTGAAATATAATTTATATAATGTACATACAGAAGAGTCGATCTATCATAAGTGCCCCCACCCAGAGCAAGAGATGGGATGTTGCCAGCACCCTGGAGACTCGGCTGGAGACAGTTGAGGGTCCTGGCTCCTGGCCAGGACTGAGGATTTACTTCCTCGGCTCTGAGAGTGCTCCCTCGGGTCACGGATTCCGTCAGAGGTGGGGTGGCGGACGCCCCTGGTGCACACCTGCAGGAATTACAGAGGGCTGCCTCATCCAACGTCATGCCCTTCCTCGGGGGACTCGCATCTGAGATCTGATCAGGGCAAAGAGTAAAAGCCAGACCATCTGGGTCCAGGTCAGGACGACCCTGAAGGGCTGCCCTAGATCAGGGCTCCCTGTGTGGTCAGCCACCAGCATCACAATCCAACATCTGTCTCAGCCAGGCCCCGCTTCCTGCCCCTCCCTCCCGTGGGTCTTGTCCCCCAGGTGCTCTCTGGGGGACATCCTGCGCCTGGAACTCCACCTGAGTCTCTGCTTCCCGGGGGCACAGGCAGCCGGCAACCACAGGCACTCCTCCCGTCCCAGCTGGCTTTGTCCGGCGGGCCCCCAGCGCTAACAAATGCAGAAAGCACAGTCGTGAACATTCCTGTGCTTCCCATGTGCTTTGTGGTTTACAAAGCCCTTCTATATCCACTCTCTCACTTGGTTTCTGATCATTCACCCCTTCGCTCCTTCAGCCGGCTAGTCAGGAAGTGCCTGCCCCATGCCGGGGTGAAAATACAACGGAAAACACAACCTCTCCCTCTCTCCACGAGCTCCGAGTCCAGTGCAGACCTCTGATGCCAATGCTCCGGGTGCTGAGGGCCATGACTGGACAAGCCGTGAAGTGGGGAGAAGGATGGCGGGCAGGGAGGTAACACGGCTTGGAGGTGAGGCCGCCCGACGGGACGGGGACCCAGCAGCTGCAGCACAGGCTCAGTGGGTGCACCGAGTCCAAGGCAGAGAATCCCCGCCACTGAGCAGACCCCTGCGGATGGACTGAGCTGCTCCGAGCTCGCCAGAAACCCAACCCAACGGGCTCTGGCCCAGCGCCACCTCCCAGGGTCTCCTTGTTGCACTGGTTGGGACCCCGAGTGGGGCTGGGAAGAAGGAAGGGAGGAGAGAGAAAGGGAAGAGGAGGGAGTGGGTGGTAGCGGGTAGGACTCCGAACAAGAGTAAGTCCTTTGCCGCTTTCCAGAGTCAACAGTGTTTGCTGAACTTTCTGTCTTCAGTAGAGGAGGAACCTTGAGAGAACAAGATAAAAAGGAAACACAAAATGAGATGTTTTCACTAATCTGAATTTGGGGCGTATCAACACTGGGAAAGATGTGGAATGTTTCACCGGGAGGGCAGACACGTTCCTTTAGACCGTCTCTGCCCAGAACAACGATGCACCAAATGGTGCTTTCAGGTGTCACCAAGATGGAGATATGTCTTTGCTATTTGTCAATCTAATCATCCTATAATCTAAAGACAAATGGGATTCCTAGGGCAGGATTCAGCCAGTAATTTAATACCTAAGTTCTTCTGATCGATAAACCATTCGCCTGTTAGAATATTTAAGTCATGCTTAGAGTTATTTAGAAAAAAAATCTATTAACTTAAGTTCTTTGAAAGTATGTCTTTAATTTAAAATGTCATTTTCCATTTAAGCATTGCATTTTACATTATTATAATACAACACCAAACTTACTTTTAATAAAAAAAATACTTGGACTTTTTTAAAGCAGAACTACATCACAGTTCATAGTCGTTTCTCCAACAAATGACTTGCGTGTCAGCACCGTGTGCCAGAACCTTTGCACACCACCAGGGGGCGTCATTTGTGTTTCTACCCAGGGAACAGTCCAGGCCTGTGGGAGGCTCCGGGGGTATCATCATGGGTTACACATTTGTGTACCCCCAAATTCGTATGTTGAAATCTTAACCCCTGCCGTAGTGTTTGAGAGGTCGGGGTCAGTGCCTTTAAGAGAAGAGTAAGAGGTCAGAGCTTTCTCTGACTCTGCCACACAAGGACACGTGAAAACAGCTGTCTGCAAATGAGGGAGGGAGCCTTCCACAGTCCCTGACCCTGCTGACACCCTGATGTTGTACTTCCAGCTTCCAGAACTGGGAGGAGTAAGTGTTTGCTGTTTAAGACGTGCCAGTCAAAGGCATTTTTGTTCCAGCAGCTGGAACCAACCGAGACCAAGAGCGCAATGATAAGACACAGTCCTTGTTCTCAAGAAACACACACACGCGCTCAAGTGTGAGACCACCCAGGGACGAGAGCATCTGGTGGGGTTCGGAGGAGCCTGGCCCCACAGAAGTGGGGTGCTGTGGAGCCCAGGCAGGGCAGCGACGTCGCCCACCAGGGGGGCTGGGAAGTGCCAGGTGGGGCTCCTGGGATGAGAACATCCCTGACAAGTTTGGAGATCTGTCCTGTCTAACCCACTAAAAACCAGAGTCCCAATTTACTACTTGTCCAAATTCAGCATGTTTACATTCATGGGTTAAAAGTTATTCGAGTTATTGGTGCCCTTTAAGAAAAAACCCTCAAATAATTAGATAGTCGACCATCTAATGAACGATGAGACACATTTGACACCTTACAGGGGCCCACTGTTGCGGAAGTGTCCCCTACAAAAACATTTCCCCGTGCACTGGGCCTGGGCAGAAGCCGCGGTCTGAAGCTCCACTCAGGAGTCTCAGTGTCAGCTTCATGGGGACAACGCCTGCTCTGCGGTGACGGCTTCTGCCTCAGGTCCTCAGACACAGGACCCCTGCTCGTGGCCGCCACAGATGCTCTGTTCTTGTGGCCTGCAAGGGGGGCTCTCTGCAGCTGCTCAAACTCTTCCTGGGGGTAAGCCAAGCGGAGGAGCTGCCTGTGAGGCTGCCGCCTTTTGTAGAAGGTCATTGGGTCGAGGTCCCTGATCACACTGACCGGGAAGACGGGAGGGAGGCTTCATGCATCGGGAATAGTTTTCCAGCGATCAGAGCAGGATCGTGGAAAGGAACATGGGAGCGTGGAGAGGAACATCTGTGCTGGAGGAACCTTCTAGAAGACAGAAGATTTGTTCCGGAGGGGCCTTGCAGAAAGGCCATGTACTCGTCCAATGCTGGAAAGGGTGACGCCACACCTCCCTGGCATCTTTGTTTTCAAAAGCATTTAAAGAGATGCTGGTAGAACACACGGCAGGGAAGGAGGAGTAACAACGGCCAGCTGTCTGCAGGTGTCGTAGCAGGCACAGCATGGGAGGTGTGGGTCACCGGGGGCCGCAGCGGGGGTGGGAGGGTGGGGCAATCACGAGTGCTCTCTGTACGCCAGGATGTCAGAGGCGTTTGGTCATTTATCTCATCCAGCCCTCCCAGCAACCTCCTGAAAGAAATAGCGGGACGGGAGAGCCAGGGAGGGTCAGAGAGACCCCTGTGTCACCAAGGGCACAGGGCGTAGCCACCCAAACTTCCAATGCGCAGCCCTGTGGCTCCCACTCAGTCGTCCTGGGCGGCCGCAGGGAAAGTCTCAGGGGAGCAGCCCATCAGGGCTTGCAGGATCCTGCACTGCGGGGGGCGGGGGCCGGGGGACCCCGGGGGCTAGGCTCTCTGAAGTTTCTGAGAACATTTGGAGAAAACAATTCATAATGGGAAAAACCGCAGGGTCTGAGTAGGCTGTTTGCTCATCTTTCTAGGAGAAATCGAGGTGATTGAAATCACCTAATAAATTAGTTCACTTTAATGCCAGCGTGCGTGTGTGTGCGTGTGTGGGGGTGGGGTGGGTCTGAGGTGAAGGAAAAATAAGTATAACGGCTTCTTTTTTTCAAAGTCACATATTACTTTGTTCGTTATGAAATAATGAAGCATTATTTAATCCCATTAGGAAACCAATGAAGTTGAGTAAATAGCACATCTGCCTGCATGTAGTGATAGCGAGTCAGGAAACGTTGATTCCACTGACGTTTAAAAATAGCAGCGCGATCTTTCTCGGTAATGACATGATAGGTGTTTTCATCACGAAAATGTATTTGATTTTTAAAAAGTACAAATATGCATCGTTACATGAACTGTTGGGGAACTTCTCCTAGGGCTTTCCTAGATGGTGGGCTCCCAAACGCAGATTCAGTTTTTCCCGATGGAAGCCCGTCTGGGAGCAGGGATCAATACCAGCCATCAATATCAATCATCAGTGAAACGCAAGGAAGGAAGAGGCCACTGGGCTGGGCGGGAAGCCCGGTTTCGGTATGTGCACTGCCCCCTTGTGGTGCTCGTCTGTATGGCCGCCTCCTGCGCATTGTTGAGACTTGGAGTTGGGGCGTCCCAACCAAGAGGTAAGCGACTGTCTTTCAGCAGCCTAACCACAGAGCCTCGTCCCCAGTGGTGCTGTTTCCACAGGTGCTTAAAGCCGTCGAGGAGGGCGCCCTTCTGGCGGGAGCGGTGCTGGTGCCGGGACCCAGTCCTGTTCACGGCGTTTCACGGTGTATCTCGGTCCCGGGACTAGGGCTGCAGAACAAACGACCACAGACAAGTGAGTAGAAACTGCCGTTCTGGATTCAGATGGCGGGTGGTTTGTCCAGGGCCTCCAGGGAACACGGACGGGCGGGGGGCTGGGAACTCCTGGAGGTGTGTCCACCCAGGTCTGGTCGTCGCAGCTGGTGAGGCTGGGGGGCCTCAGCTGCTTCTGCACCTGGGTCTTCACAGGATCTGTCTGGGCTTCTTCAGAGTGTGGTGAGTAGAGGCGGGGGGGAGGCGGGGGGAGGAGAGAGAGAGCCAGAAAGAAACCGGATCTGGTTTGACCCAGACTCAGCAGTCAGATCCGGTCACTCCAACCACATTCCACTGGTCAGGAAGGAGCAGCCTGGACTTGCCGTGGGAGGGGACTACACCATGAACACAGGGAGGCGTGGGTCACTTGGGTATTTCTGGGCGCCGTATTCCTGCCGCCCTCTTCCGCACCAAGCCCTGGGGCTCCCTCCACCTGTGGGCCTGCACTTAGTATCGAAGCCCCCAGTGGAGAGTGTCCAGGAGACCCAAGGGAGCAGTCCCAGTTAGAGGAGCTCGCCTCAGGGGAGAGGAGACACCTCCCGGGATTTTGCTCTGGAAGGAGAAAGCGGGCAGCGGGGAGACCGGTGCAGAGGCTGGGGGGACAGGCAGGTTCCGGTAAGTGCAGATCCGAGGACTTGCCTCTGCGCTGCTCTTCCGAGAAGCCTCCCTCCCAGACCCCCAGCTCCACGTGCATTTTAAGAGAATTCCATCAAGGAATTCTGCGAGAAACACAAATGACTAATAACCTTTTTTTTCCTAAAAGAAAACTCGATTTCACCAGTAATCCTGGAAACAGACATTGAACCCTGGTAACAGACAATCAGATACCCCAAAGAGAATCTCTTAGGTAAGAATTTCTTACCCTTCTTGGTGGCACACTTTCTCCACGAGGGTGACCTCACTGGATCTTACAATTTACTGTTGCTTATAATGATCTGAGTACGTCTCAAGATTTAATTCAGATGTTTTAAATTTTAAGAATATGAGTATTTGGGGTTTTTAAAAAATAGCCTAGAATTCAGGAATTCCCAACCTTGGCATGGTGATCACTCCCCACAAGCTATTTCAGGACCACCGTGTAACCAGAACCTCTCTGGTGCGGCCCCTGGCTGTAAGACAGAGGTCTCACTCCTGATCGGACATTCTGATGGTCATCAGAAAGGAGCCAGCCCGGGGGCGGGGCTGCATAGTCCCGGGGTCCTGAGGGGATGGCTGAGACCAGGGCCTCGGACAGGAAGTGAGTAGGACTTTTTCCAGGTTCTGCCCTTGTGCGGGGGTGTGTGTGGGGGGGAAGCCAGGTAGAAATGACAGCATGAGCCATGGCCCAGTGGTGTGAACAAGTTCGTATGCTCAGATGACAGGCGCTCCATGCCCTAGGTGGCGACAAAGCAATGGGCGCTTTGAGGCTGCACCTGAAGGTTGTCATTGTGCAGTTTTGGGCCATAGCTGGGAGGCTGAACTTGGTCCACGTGGGGGTAGGGGAGGGGGAGGGAGCCACCAGTGGACTTGAAGCAAGGGCTCCATGCGGTTGGGTGTATGTTGGGAGCGTCACTCTGAGCACGACGACAGATGGAGGAGCAAGAGGATGTGACGAAAGATGACAGCAGGAAGCTGACAGTGGGGGTTGCCTGGGACAGTGACTGTGGGGATGGAGAGAAGCAATTATCAGAGTCATTTCTGGAACGGCAGGATGTGGGGAGCGAGGGCGAGAGGGAGGTGTGCAGGCGGGCTCCCGGGCCTTGGGCTCGGACGACTGGACAGATGGCAGTGTCCGAAACCAATGTGCAGGGTGTGGGGGAGAACCAGCCGGACGCCAGCTCGAGTCTGGACTCGCTGAGTCTGCTCGCCCACAGGACAGCCAGGGAGCCAGTCCAACCCCGGCCCTGCCTAGGGCTGTGTATCTCCTGGGCCGTGTGTCTCCTGGAATCGTTCTGCTCCTCCACATGTCTCCTCCCCCCTGGAATTCGTGCTCCCGGAGAGAAGTGACTGTCCTCTGTCTCCAGTCTCCTGGTATGGGGCCTGGCACCTTGGGAGGCAACAGCAAGTTCTGCTGAATAAATGGTCGTCTCCGTAAGAGACTGGCCAACAAAATGTGTGCCAGAAAGAGGAGGGGAGGGGAGGAGAAAAGGGCCACCAGGTGAGAAATGGTTAGAAAAACAGAGGCCAGGGAGGGTGTTGGGACAGAGCAGGGTGGGAGCGGGCCAGAGGACCAGCCCAGCTAGCAGGCTTGTTTCCAGCTGCTCCATGTCCCCAGACACAGCAGACTGAGTCCCGGATGAAAAGCTCGGCTGAAATGGGTCAGGCCTGGCCCTGACCCCCATGCAGGCCCACCCCCCCACCCCCAGACCAGGACAGTCCTCGTGAGTCATCCCATCCCAAGTCACTTTCTACTGGTGATGGAATGATACACTCAGCTGATGGCCGCACCTTTCCCTATCCTATTTACTGCGAGAAAATCTCATCCGTTATGGGAAGGATGGAGTAAGTGGAAGGACCTGATATGGGATTTCTTCCCACGAATGGTGGCAACTTTGGACCCCCGCAGGAATCCTCAGTCCCCCAGATGAAAGCTGAGATTCTGTCCTGTGGTCCTTCGTCGGATTTCTTGGCTTTCAGCTGATTCGCTGAACATCGGGAGCAGCACGTGATGTCTTTGTTCTGAGTAAAAGCATCTGCTCCACAATTAACTAATTGTTTTGCCAATCGCTGTTTGGTTTTCCTCTTGTTGCTTTTGTAAAACCGATAGCGGCAGAAGGCTTAGAAAACAAGGAAATGACCCCCTGAATCCTGCCCACCCCCCAAAGCTGGGATGCGACTGCAGGCTCCAAGCCCTCCTCGAAGCAGACCGTGTTTTGGTTGTAAACACAGTGTACTTTGTATCTTGCTCTTTTTTTTGACTTAATATTATCTGATTCTTTTTTATGAGCAGTGACATTCGATACGAGGTGGTACTCACAGGAGTTTTTTGAAAGACCATTCTTGGGAGGATTGGTATTTTCTAAGCCCCATCGACTTCGGGGAATCAGGAAATTAAACTTTTTATTTATTGGTCTTTGACTTCCCCATAAACAGACACAGTTCTGGGCTTCATGGAAGCCGCCGCACCCAACAAAGGCCTGCCCTTGAGTGATTAGGCCTCGGGTGGGGGCTTGGTGGTGCTTCACGGGGGCCCTCTGTCCTCACCTAACACCATGAGTTTCTTTGGTTTAAAAAAATTACCCTACGTGGGTTTTTTTTCCTGTCCAAATGTTTACAACAATGAGCTGGTCTTTGTACCTACATTGAAGGAAAGGACAAAGAATGCTTGTGACTTGCGTGACTTTTTAAAAAGTCTTTTGGTGAATCTGATGGACCTTGGCTGCAGCTGAGCGCCGAGGACTTGAACTCAGGCCTCGTGGCTGGCCCCTCGGAGCCCACGGAGGCCCACGGTCGGAACACCTGCTCCGCCGCTCCCCGGACTGGCCTCTGCAGGCTTCTCGACACCCGAAAGGCCGCCCTGTGGGGACTCTCTCGCTCCTCTGTGAGGCCACAAGGCTGTTCGTCTGGACCCGAGTTCTGGGGGGGATCGGATTCTGCTTCGGGTGCTCTTCCTCCTCGACTGTCTCTCTTCCCAGACTCAGTCCGCGGCAGACCCTGTCCTCTCTACCTGGGACCGCGGCTGTTCGGTCAGTGCCCGAGGGGAGTCTCCCTTCAGAGGAGGGGACCCGGAGCGTTCCTTCCCACGAAGGCGACCTCAGAGACAGGCCGTCATCTCTGCAGGCTCACCTGTGTGCACCCGCCGTGGCTTTTGTAAAGCAAAACGGCCGTCCTGCCTCCAGCTCCCCCCCAGTGGAAAAGGTCTATTTTGGGAAAAAGCAGGATGATTCGCAGGTGCCGAGGCCTGCGCACACTGGTTGAGCGGTTGACTATTTTGAGCAGCTCTCCCATCCGTTCGCTTGGGGAGGGTCCCGTGGAGAACCAGCAGGGTGACAAGGTGAAGGGTCGGGGTGCAGAGGAGCCGTGTCCCGGGGCGCTGGTGTCCCGGGGCGCTGGTGTCCCAGGACATAGAGGGATACTGACCAGCCTGGCGGTCTCGGGCTGTGAGGCAGCTCCGGGCGGAGGGACAAGTGGTACCTGCAGCTGGAAGCCGGGGTGCGATGGCCAGGTCTTCTCAAAGCAAGGCAGATGAGGGGTCAGGTCTCATGAGACCCCCCGCCAACCCAGCATCCCCCCTTCCCTAGGGACTAATCGAGTCTTCTATGGGTGTGAGACAGTTGTAACTCGGGACCCGATTTCATGACGATTCAAAGGCAGAGAATGTTGATAAGAAGGAGACGTCAGCCGCTGCCCCATGTTCGAGGAGAAGGGCCTGGGGACTCTGCGGACCTCACAGACAGGTGCTGGCATCTTCCCGGTTGCTAGAAATCACGCAGAACTCCTACCCTGCACCCAGCACTTCAACAAATACTTTGCATGCGTCTTCTCATGGGATCCGTAATCCAGCGACGTGGGTTGCATAATTAGCCCCAGGATAAGGAGGTGGGAACCAAGACTTGCCGGTAACTTGTCCCAGGCCGTGGAGATGATGAGTAGGTGAGCTGGGTACAAAGCTGGGCTGTCAGCGAGCGCGCTAGGAGTGGCCTTCACAACTGTCCATGTCAGGGACATTCCGGAACACTCCCTGGTCCATCCCTTCCGACAGTGCTCGGTGTGCCAGGCAGGTGTTGCATGCTGGGCTGTGGGGGTACAGTAGACTGGGTCTGTGCATGGTCCTCTACTGTCCCCAGACACTGCCATTGTCCAGGTCTGAGAACCTGGCAGTGCCACGGTGTCCCCTCATGCCCTGGGAGCTTCTCCTGTCCCGCCCTGCACACCCCCCATTTTTATGCACACCGGTCAGCTCCTTCTTCACCCAGGGGTGAGCTTCGGGGCGGGGTTCCATTGCAGACTGAGGCACCAGGCAACCTGAATTTCTAGGCCACTTTGAATGCGTACACATTGTGTTTGCACAACTGCGTTATTGGGATGATTCACGAAATGGATGACCACAGGAGATCGTTTGATACCTTGGCACAAGTTCACATAAGGTCATCCATGTGACTTGTCTAAATCTCATGTTCCAGGGCTACAAACCTGCTCCACGCACTGTGACCCTCTGCCTCACCCCTTTGCAGCTCTGTGCACACTCCAGCACGTCCTCCCCGGGTGGGTCCTTGGCCTCTCCAGGCGTGTCCCTCTCATCCTGGGCCCTTTCTAGCATCGCAAAATTCTGGGGCATTAACGGTGCTTTTCTTTGTACCCCTCCCTCTACCCCACGCAGTTCTCCGCCCTGCCTGGCTCCACGATCACCTGAGACGCTTTGAAAAGTTACCAAAGCTGGGTCCCGACACAGGGACATAACTGATGTAGGGCGGGGTGGGGGCGGGGAACCAGGCCTGGGTACAGCCTGAGGCTCCCTAGGACCTTGGATGTGCAACCAGCCTCAGGAACTTGGCCCAGGGCCTTCTCCCGGCAGCCTTGGCCTTGTTGCCACCTACAGGAATGATTCTCAGTAAGTCAATAAATGACCACTTATATCCATTTGCAATCAAAACGTACTTAGTGCTTTAGTAAATAGTTTGTTTTTCTAGGCCCTTTGGTAGAGAAAGAATTAACATCAATCCCTCACCCAGCAGATAGAAAACTAGACTCGGCTTCTGGCCTTGCACATATCTGAACTTTAACATACAGAAGAAACACACATTCATCATTGTTCTGCAATATAATCTGTATCCAATATTAAACATATTCCTATGACATTTAGCTCTCTGATCACAGCTTAATAAAATTATAATTATGACCTTTCAAAGTATTGTCACTCGATCCACACTTAATCGGCATTCTTAGCCTGACATCTCAGCGAAGGCCGGGCGGTGCCTTTTGTCCTGGCAGTTGAGATTTCATGCACTGAGAACGAGGATGGGCTCGGCTGCTCACCCCGGTACCCCAACGTCCAGAGCAGTTGCTTAAAGACAGTCGCTGAGCGATGAGGAAGCACCTGAGGCGTTCGGGCCCGCCTGACGTCTGATCACATTGGTGCCCGTGTGGATGTGCCTGCATTGCCAGGCCCAGAGGGAAGGGGCATTTGGCAAAGGGGGTGTGAAGTAGGTGTGGGGACAGGGCTGTATCGGCAATGAGCCAAAATCAGCCCAGATCCGGTTGGCAAACATACCTGCTCTCACCAAAACTATCCTGGTGGACACGAACTCTCAGATGGCTGAGAACTAGCAGTCAGATCCCTCCTTTAAAGTTCCAGAATATCACACGTTGGGTGTTTGTTTCAAGACAAAATATGCTTTGAAGGAACAACAAGATTTTTCTCGTGGGGTTGCGTGGAGATGTCCTGATCCTCTTTGCAAACCACGATGGTGCTGGTTGGAGGAGCATTAGATACGCCACTCATGGCTGATAACAGTCACGGAATCTTCGGTGAAGGTTATAAACCTCAGGAGACAACCTAAGATAGTTACCGTGTTTCTCCCTCGGGCCTAAGGAATAGCAATGTGTTCTAGGGTCCTTAGGATCTGCCCTGGTCGCTCAGGATCCTGTCAGCAGCTGGAGGGAACATGGGGCAATGAGCGGTGTTGCTCCTTCTGCTGGGGACTGGGGAGTCTGCAGCCGGTGACGCAGCCAGACCAGTTATCGTGAGCAAGGGAGTGCCCCTGAAAGGAGTCACTCACACGTTTGTGCCTTTCCACGGTGCCAGGTCTGTTGGGGTAGACCTACCAATAGGCTGACAGAGTCACGTGCAAGTCGCATGCGGAGAGGGGGAGCCTATGCCATTGAAGTGAGCAGAACGAGCATCCGGCGTGAAATCACTAGCGGCATCCGCAGGTGGAGAGGCAGGCGTCGGTCTCAAGTCAGGTTGCCCAAGTGGTCAGAGCTCTGGGTTCTCACAGCCCACCAGGGCAGAGGTCCCACGCATATCGGTGTCCAGGTGGAGTCCTTGCCTGAGCATCCAGACTTGTGGTTTTGGGCACTCTGGGCCCCTCCTAAGGGGTTCCCGTTACACCCCGTTATCTCAGTCTTGACATAACTGTCATGGCTGACGGGGACTCCATATTGGATTGTCAAAGGTGTCCAAAACCTCTGCTCTGCCTGTGCTCCATACATTAGGGGAGCCAAGTACGCACACTGGCTCTTGGGTCTGAACACGGTAGAATGGCTCCCACTCGGATGGAGGAGAGAAGGAAGGGCAGTATTTTCCAGTCTGGGAACTTGCGAATCCATGTGATTTCGGCTGGGAGCGAGAACACAACGTTCGAGGTTATTGTGGTTACTCTGTGCAGAAAGCACACACTACACCTAACAGACCCAACCATTTCATGAAGCCGTAGCCAAGCGTGTGAGTTACAATTTTATTCATTCCGTTTATTCAGTGAGTCAGACTCTGACAGGGGGTTGATTTGCTGTTTCATATTTGGGGGGATTGTTTTGGTATATTCGTAGCGTGTTTACTTAAATACTCTGTTACATGAGATGTTTTCATTTGTTTTGATAGGCACTTATAAAGGCAGCACGCGGCATTTCACGCTCACGCAGCACATCCGGAGTCCCCAGCGCAGCACCAGGATTCGAGAGGCAACTGCCCCACGTGCTTGGAAGCGCCAGCCGTGTTCCTCCCAGAGAAAGGCCCAGAGTTAAGCTGCAGGGAGAGTCTTTCCCAGTCACTGGCTCGAGACACCCCACTAGGACCAAAGATTGTGGGTGGCAGCTGGAGCCTGGAGGAGGAAATGGGTTCTTCCTGCTTGTTTTATGGTGCTTAGGGTGTTACCACAACAGCATGGGTGCTTTCCCGAACTCAGTGAACATATGGGAAACCTATACTTAGCTTATCATTTCAAGCCTTTCCTCCCCCACACCCATCTCCTCCCTGCACCAGGAATCCTCAATATGGTACCGACTCTGTAGGTGAAAAAAAATTGGTTGAATGGGGTGAAGCGTCCTCGCTCCCTGACCTGTGGCCTGCAGCGATGCGTCCTGAACTCTGGTGGGAGTCGCAGTCGACCGCTGACCTGCCTGGAATGGCCGTTATATCGGTCATGGGAGGGGAACACAGCCACCACATCTGAACCTGGCAGCCACCCCCACAGAGACGGCCCTGGGCAAAGACAGCCACAAGTCGTGCGAAACAAAGAGAAGGCCGTCTTTAAAATTAGTCCTGAATGTCAGAACGGACCCACAGAGAATGCACTTCTCTGCCTAGAAGTGGGCGGAATTTAAGAGCGGGTTACACATTTTAAAAAGTCGTCAGTCTGCTCTTTTCGGTGTCAGGTTTAAGAGCCTTTAGATCTGGTTTTTGAGTGTACAGAAGCTCACGGTTATGTGCGTGCCTGTCCTGGTCACAGTCCGTACCCGGAGCCTCCGCCATTGTGCTCGGGTGGGTACCAGGCAGCATCCCCCAGAAACGTTATCACTAAGCCATCAGCCATCCTTTCAGCATCTGAATCATTTCCAGGATGGCACAAGTCCAAGTCTAATTCATTAGAACAGAAGAAATCTATAAACACCTGCATGTAATTGATTAGGAAGCTGGGGTTCCTTTAACTGACTGTTTACTCCTCTGCTCCCGACAACGTGCTGAAACAAAGACCCAACAGCAGCGAGTCACTGACATCGTGCCGGGTTATCAGAGACTTTCGTTTGGGGAACTGGGTCACTGTATTTGGGGCGACAACCCCGGAGCCCCCAAGACCTACCCCTCCACTAACACGCCGTATCCCTGTGTCCTTAGTTCACTGGATTGGAAACTGTGAAGTCATGGATCTGTGTTTATTTTTTTATGTAGAAAACAATTACGTGGAAAAAGACCGGTTTTTAAGGGCAAGTTATCTGTGTTTCTATAAATGGTAACTCTACCCCACCCCACTACTCTTTAATCTCAAATCGAAGAGAGGGGATGCTCCCCCCAACCACACTTTCCCCCTTCACACAATTGCAGATTTGGTTCTGTGTCCCTTTTTGGTGATTTTTAACATTTCCTCCCCAGGAAATGAAATTCGGGTCACTCTTGCTGGCCATTGTTGGTGCTTGGGCAGAGAAAGGGGAGGCAAGGCAGAGGCTCAGCAAGTGAGGGTTTGTGAGGACACCCCCAGAGAAGAAAAGGAGGCACAGCCCGAGAACGGCGTTCCTGCACGTCGGCTAGGCTGGGGGCGGGGGGGTGCATGGGACGGCTGCGCTATTCGCTGTTCAGGGGACTTGTCGTGGGCGGGGCTCCTGCTCGGAACCCTGGGTGTGAGGACGTGGACTTGAGGGACACAAGGTAGATTCTCACCTTCCCAAATGACAACCAACCATGGAGAAAGTCAGAGGGAACCAACTGAAAACTATCAGAACTTTATTGTGTTAATGGATTATTTGTTTGTGTGTTTGTTCGTTTGTTTATTGGAAGTTTAGCCAGGTAAAAAATACAAGATTTACATACGGAAACCAATCGCTTTTTTACACACCAGGCAAAAATCAACCTAAAAGTGCAACTTAAAAACATAACATTCAAAACAGCTGCAAAAGGTAAAAACATGCAGGAATAAACATAGGACAGCAGCCTGAAAAGCTACATGAAGAAAACATAACGTTTACTGAAGAACAGAAGGTAAGATTTATATAAATGGGGACTGCACCGTGGCATGAAGATGCCGATTCCCCCATAAATCAACATCTAAATTCTGAAAAATTCCTATGAAGTGGCCAATGGACTTACTCGACAAGCTTACTCTAAATTCATCTGTCAGGAAAATATCCAAATATGAGCATGAACTTCCGGGTAGAGTGATGGTGTTGATTTACAGAAGGAAATATAAATGGCCACCGAGCAAGAAAAGATGTTCAAACGTTCAATGTCACTAACAATCAGAGAAATGAACAATTAACAATAAGATACCATTTTTTGGGTCCTTAAGTATCTAAAAGATCATTTGGGGCACAGTTGGAGGGGGGTGTGATGGGTCCGGTCTCTTCCTGGGGGACTTGGGGACATTTATTCAGACTGTAGCTGTGCACAGGCCGGAGGCAGCACCGACAAGGGACTGTTCAGAGATTGCCCCCGGGAGCCCCACAAACACGTGTGCAAAGCCTTTGATCATGCATGTTCCTGTGGTTCACATGGTGTGACGGCCAAAAATTAGAAACAGTTTGAACTCTCCTTAACAAGACGATAAGTTTTAAAATCACGGCACATCGTATTAGGTGCGGCGATACCTCATACAGTGCGGCAGTTGAAAAAGCGAATCAGCCCGGGCTGGTGTGCCTCAGTGGATTGAGCATCACCTACAGACAGAAGGGTCGCTGCTTCAATTCTCCGTCAGGGCACCTGCCTGGGTTGCGAGCCAGGTCCCCTGTTGGGGGTGTGCAAGAGGTAAGCCACACATTGATGTTTCTCTCACACATCGATGTTTCTCTCCCTCTTTCTCCCTCCCTTCCCCTCTCTAAAAATAACTGAAAAAATTAAAAAGAAAACAAAAAGCAAACCAGTGTGTACGCACTGACACCATGAGAATTCCGAGATGCAGTTAAATATCGAAAGAATGTTATAAAATACCATGTGCTGTGTAACCCGGTTTGTGTTTAAATGTTGGTGAAGTCATACGCAGCTCCGTGATAGTAAACGCGCAGGATAAAAACCGACGTCAACTTCTCGTGAGGACAGAATGGGGACTGGAGATGCAGCGAGACTGAGGGGAGCTCCTGCTTTTTCAGTAGCATTTGAGATTTCACAGTGGAAACATAACTGCGTATTAATTAGGTAATTTTTAAAACTCCCCCCAAAGTTAATGTGGCAATTTTAGAATTCATTCAATTCATTTACAACACAACCACATACTTTTATTTTTATAAGGACTTGAATATTTTTTAACCTTATTAAAAATAATTTAAAAAATTTCTTCGAGGTCGGGTGTGGTGCCATAACCTGTTGACTTTCTGGCCCTTCCACAGTCTCACTACAAAACTTGGCCTTGGCATTCAGATGTGTGCAATGTCCAACCCTAAACAAACCTTACGGTAACTAGGAGTGCTGGGTCAGAACGCCCCACCAGGCACCAGTGCTACAAAACGCGTGGAGAATCTTCCGAAAGGGTTAGGGCTCCAGTGAGGAATCAGCCTTTTTGTCAATAGTGAACCTTACTTTTGGATTCTTTTTCAAAAACTCTGCGTAGCTTCGCTCAGGAATAAATCGGAAAGAGCTCCATATTTCATTATAACGTCTTGGAAAGCGTCTGAAAATCGGGACCACCACAGCTTCGCGATAGACATACGATATTTGGTAACTTGAAAAGCCATCGAGACAAGATGGAACATAGTCACACGCCCAAAGATTGAAATTTCTTGAAGCATGCTGCCTTTTTTCTGGGGAGACCTTCTTAAGTCCCAGGCCCTGGGGGAAGAATCAAGAAGATTAGGGAAAAAGAGTCAAGGTCACACAGTCCTGAGGTCTACAGTGAAACTAGCAACATGACATCCTATGTTTATACCTAAATTTTTTTTATTGATTGATTTGAGAGAGAGCAAAGGAGGTAGTGAACAAAACATCAATTTGTCGTTTCATTTATTTGTGGATTCATTGGTTAATTCTTGTATGTGCCCTGGTAACAGGGTGCAGCCAAGGGAGTGGAGGGGGGGCAAACGGGGATTTGTAATGGGGACCAGAACTCAGTGTCCAGGAAATATTAGATTAAAAAAATGTACATAGGATGTCCTCACCCCCCACAAGTCTGAGCTGGGGGATGGGACGCATGGAGCAGGGACATAGAGCACTGTTTTGCATAATAACAGTTTTGCAGGTAACCTCTAGAATGGTCGGTTAACATACCTATAACCTTTAACTAATTTCATGGAAATGTTAAACAGCTGTGGCCATGCTCTGAGCCAGGGGGATCAGGGTGACTTCAACCCATGATGTAACTGGCAGGCAGCTCCCCCTGGTTACAGAGCCTGCGTGACAGCTTGGAGATGATTGGCTCCGCACCGCAGGGCCACGCCTGCCCGGACTTACTATGGCAGCCCAGTGAAGCTGGAAAAAAAATACAGGAATGCTGGCAGCTGTGGCCAATTGTGGGCGGAGTCAGAAGTGGTGCAGCAGAGGAAGACTGGCGCTGGGATTTAAACCCAGGCGCGGCAGCCATGTGGGGGTCTATTTGGGACCATGCAGCTTGGACAGAGAAGAACTGGGGGTCTTTTGAGGACCATGAGGCTTGGGCAGAGAAGAACCACAAACTTCTTCTTTTTCTGCAATACGGTACTCCAGACTGGGCAGAGGGGGAAGAAAGAACTGTGTGTTTGTGGGTATTCTGAAGGACTTTGGGATCTCAATGAAGACATTAAGTTATTACTCTTAAGTTTGTATAACTCTTTAAATACATAATCCTTTTCTTTTCACCAATCTCTAGCACTGAGAGACATCTTTCCCTGGTGGCATGTAAGGCGGACCTAGTACGGGGTGGGGGAGCCCCCCAGAGTCCATCTGGTAATAATATATCATTTACTCCCCCCAGGCCTATTCTGTAAATCCCTGACTGGGGATCCAACCCGAAACCTTGGTGTATTGGAACAACGGTCCAACCAACTGAGCTCCCTAGCCAGGGCTGACGTCCTATGTTTAAATGCAGAATATAACCACCATTATAAGAGATATGCTTTGCCTACATGTTGAAGGCTATAAATCAGCACTCAAAACATGCTGGTGTCTTGCTATTGTTCTGGAAGTTTTTCACTCCCACCAGGGAACTGGACTTCGAGAGACACGGAGGGTAGAACCAGAGAATCCCAGATGGAAATAGCCCGTGAACCAGCCTAGACACCTCCAAGGACTCCAGGGAGGGTCTCTGCCCCCAGGTGGCTGCTCAGAGTGCCCCGCCAGCATTCGGTGGGGTAGGTGATGCCCTCTCTGAGAAGCTGAAGAAGCCGGGCTCTTTCTCAGGTCAGAGGGCTCCGAGAAAAAGTGGCCCCTGTGGGCCCTGCCCGCAGGCCTCCTCGTTACATCTCGGCACCTTGCATATGACCCTGGGAATTTCCATGTATTCAAAATGGTGCCTTTGACTTGGTCGTGACCAGGTGAGAAGGAAAACGCTGTGCTTAGATGGAATACTAGAAGGAAATAGACATTAGGTTACGGTCGTCAAGTGAGGTTGCCTTTTCCTAGGGTCAGTGTCATTCCGAGTGTCAGGGGGCACACCCAAACAGGGTCATCTAAGGAGTTTCATAAAGGGACTATTTACCCGAGTGTGTAGAAATTCCCAGAGACAGCTCAGGAGCAGTTCTGGGGCCAAGGGGCCCAAGGAGAGATGCAGACCTCACAGACCGTCTGGGGCCACAGCAGGGAGAAGGGGTGGGGTGGGGGGCTCAGAGGGACGAAGGGAGATGCTGGCTATACTGCCCAGGTACCTCCCCCACAATTCCTCCCAGATACTCCAGAAAAATGAAAAATAAAAGAAAGGCATAAAGTAAATAGGGGGAAAAAAGAACCACAAGGAAAGTAATAAGAAAAGCTTGTAATTCTAAATATTATCCTCGCTGATAATGTGACTGAAATACACTGAAAATTTAAGAATCCACCAAAAGAAAGGATGGAACAGGGAGAGGAGGGAGTGGGGGGTCTAGGGGTCAAGGGGGAAGAAAATAGAGAGAGAGTGAGGGGCCAATTTTGAACTCAGTGCCACCTAAGGTTGTCCCAGGAGAATGGAACTCCCACGAGTTGGGAGAACACAGCCTGAATGGCCAGCACTAGAACCCTCATAAAGTGTCATGAATAATACTCTGAAGGACTTGCCTTATTCTTGGGGAAAAGCTATAGATACTAACTTTCATGTTCATAGAGTAATATAGTGTTGACATATTTCTCATTTGTACTTAAGAGGAACCGCTGGTAGAATAGCAATAGACGTCTGTCCGTGTGAGCAAATAAATTCAACATAGCCGAGTTGGTGGGAATGGGGCAGAGGACACGCCAATGTGATAAACAGGAAACACGAAATGAGATGGAAAAATAAACCCCAAACAAATGATCACAATAATGTGAAAGGCTCAAGTTTTCATTTAAAGAAATGACTCCTAGATTTTTAAAAACTATGCTGTATTCTATTTATAATTAAAAACAAAACAAAACAAAATGACTACAAAGTATAGAGACAAGGAAATGGACCATGATATAAGGAACAGATTTTAGCCAAAGGAGAATAATAGTGGAAATGCTAATATTGAGATGTAGAATTCATGGCTAGATGAATTCAAGCATATAAAAAGAGATAATTTACATTGATAAATAATAAAAACCATTAAGAAAATAAAATAATAAGTTTTTATGCAGAAAGACATGGTATTAAACCATATAAGGCAAAAAAAATTAGAAACTCAAGAATAATCATGGAAGGAAAAATTGACAGATCAAGGCAAATATTAAGAAAAGTATATGAAGCATTTAAATAAAATGATTGCTAATCCTGAACTAATATAAAGAACTTTGTAACCAACAAAGGGGGAAGATATATTCTTTCTTAATACCAATGAAACACATGTTAAAATGAATTATATGCAAGATAACAAAGATAACCTTTTTTTTCTTTTTTTCCAAGATTTTAATTAATTTTTTTAGAGAGAGGAGGGAGGGAGAAAGAGAGGGACAGAAACATTGACTGGTTGCCTCTGGCATGTCCCCAACTGGGGAGCTGGCCCACAACCCAGGCATGTGCCCTGACCCAGAATCAAACCAGCATCCTTTTAGTTCATAGGCAAACACTCAGTCCACTGAGCCACACCAGCCAGGGCAACAAAGATCATCTTTACAGTTAAAAAAATGGAAATCACAGGTTATATTTTATAAAACTTAGTATAACCCATAGAACTAGGGATTTACAATAAAAGAACAATCTTTAAAATTTCTAACCACATAGAAAATTAAAAACATTTAGTTAAAAAAGAATTTAAAAAATTAATAGACTATTTGGAAGCAAATAATAGTGAGACCCTAGTTAGAAAACTCTTTGGGATGCCCAAGTAATAATCTGAGGCACATTCATAGTTCTAAAAAAATGCTTGTGCAGAGACAAACCAGGTTTTTCCGGTTAAGCCACTTCAATGTGATTCAGACATTGCCTGCGAGAGGGCAAGGTAACTTTGGTAACCTTGTTTAACGTCTCTGGCTCTCAGTCACCTCCTGTCCAAAGTGGGGGTGATAGGAGCAATGAACCGATAGGGCTGCAGTGAGGAATAAATGAGATAATGGGGGGTGACAGCATACGGCTTATGCTTAATAACCAGTGGGTATTACTAACATCATCATCACCATCATCATCGTGGACTTTCAGGTGCTATAAGGTTTCTCCGAGCTCACCCGGCACAACTGTCTACCTAAGACAAGTACACCTGAAATGTGGCCGTTCCCAACTCAGAGGAACCATGAGCTTGGATTTAAAGACTTAGCTTGGGGAATGCACAATACCTCATGAATAATTTTTCATTGACTGTTGAAATGATGATTTGGAGAATTATCAGAGCAAATAAAATATGTAAACATGAATTTTCTCTGTTTCTTCTTTACTTAACGTGGTTACTAGAAAGATTTAAGTTACATATATGGCTTGTGACACATTTCCGTGGCATGGCGCTGCGTGAAACCAACACTAACAAGAGGGATCAGAGTTTGTTTTCTCCAGTCACGGGAACCCACCATTGGGAAAAAGGTGACTGCAGGGTTTAGGAGATCCTTCTGTCTGGAACGTAAGCTCCCTGTCCCTTGGACCCTCCTTGTGAGCCCTGGCCCTGCCATGCTGAGACGCCGGTAAGCAATCCCTCTTCCCTTCCCAAGCTCACTGACAAGACAGTGTACACTTAGGAAGCGCACAGAACCCAATCAGAAGCTGGCGCAGACTTCAAAGGCTGTGTGGAACTTGGGAAGCTTCAGGCATTTTTTTTGGTAACCTAGTATCAGGTTTTAATGTGGACCTTGTTCCGATTTTGAGGTCAGTCCTCTGTCCTCAACACGTCTCCGGAAATCAAGAGCCCCGATGTCTCCTGCCACGTGATTGGTAACTCGGAGAGAGATACTCACGGAGTCAAGGTAGAATCCAGAATTCTGAAAGCTGTGCCGATTGTCGTGGACAGAGAAGGGGAAGCTGTTGTGGACTGCTTGCTGGGAAAGAGAGAAGGGGGAGGTGAGAGGCCCCCCTCCGAACCCCCGTGCACTTTCAGAACTGGCCCGTGGTGGCGTGGCGGGAAGACAGGTGGGGCACAGTGGCCGCTAAGTGAGAATTAAACCCGTCCCCAGAGACAAGCAAACACAGCACAGGAGGGTGGGGGCGTAGCTGTGAGAATCAGCCCAAGGCTTTGAAATGCAACCTTTATGGCTAAGAGTCATACACATTTTCTTTCAGACACCTCCTTTGGGGGCAAGGAAGGAAAAGTTCATACAAGTTCCTGGGACCGAAACGTGGAGAGGAATTCTGAGACCCTCTGGGCCTGGAGGCCAGTGAGTAGCGATGTGAGGTCAGTGCCTGCCTCTCCTTCAGGCTGCGCCAGGTCCCTGAAGCCGCTGGGGAATTGGCTGGGCAGCAGGACAGGTGTGCTCCTGGGCTGTGAGTCGTGCACACAGGGGTTGATTTTGTCCACAGAGGAGCCTACCTGGGCTGCCTGGACCAGGAGGTGGCCCTCGGAGAGAGCGTCTGAGGTGTCACAGTGGCCAGGGCATCAGGCTGGGGTGCTACCAGCCTTGAGGAGTCCGGGGCCCGTAGGTGATCAGTTCCTTCCGAGGAAGAAGTACCTGGCCTCCAAGAGCCGGGGGCGTGGGGGCGGGGGCAGGGGGTGTGGGGCCCAGTGCCCTACACTCACCTTCTCTCGGATTTTGTAGATTGGCGGTAGCTTCCCTTCCGTCTGCCGAGACACTCGCGGGCTGCGGGGCTCTTTTAACATGGCCCTGGTGATGGATTCTGGGGTCTTCTGCGGCAATCCAATGTGAGGAAACTAGAAAACAGCGCGCGCCTTGATTAAAACCAGGCGCATCAGAATCTCCAAGCCAAGGATCAGGGCTTCCTCTGTAAAGTGATTAAAATGCAATTTGGGTGCTTCTGGCCTGCAGTGGAAATGGCATAATTTTTAAGGATTCTTTCCAAGACAAAAAATATTGTCATGGCCCGAGGCCATCACTGCCGGTTGTTCTGAGTTCCCAGGGCCACCCCTGCTGTGTTGGAGCCTGGAGAGGGTCCTGAGGCCCAGCGGGCAGGGTGTGGTCCTGCAGGAGTGAGCGGGGAGAAGGCAGAGAGGTGTTACTTGAGATCTTTCTGGTCAGGGTGCTCCCCATGCTTGGGAACAAAGGTCCAGCCCACGTTCACGGGTAGGAGGGGAGCCAACTTCCTGCGGATTTGAGGTGGACCCTCAGGCTCAGGGAAGTTGAGGAGGGAAGGGTCCCTGGTGACTCCCCGCTGAGAATGTAGGGTGGTAAATAGTGGGAAGGTGATGGGGGGTGGGGGGCTTTGTGCCTCCCTGGGAGACGGAGGGAAGCAAGCAGGACTCTGGGCAGAGGGGGGTGGATCACAGCAGCATCCACCAAGCCCACACAGAGCTCTGGACACGGATGGTCTCTCAGAGTTGGGAAGAGGAGCCTGGGCCCTTGTGCCTGCCCATCCATCAGTCATGGGATACGAGCTGTCCCAGGAAGAGGGGTGACCTTGGGAGGCAGCTCTCTTCAGGGTGGACGACCACTCAGGGCCACACTCACAGCTGGGAGGAGCCCTTCATTCCCGAAGTGGGGATGGGGGTGGGGTCTCTGGGAGAGGAACAAAAGGGGAAACTGAAACACAAACTAAAGACAAGGCTCCCACTCCTGGCGAAAGTCCCCGTGAAGGGAGGAGGCACGACGTGGTGGCTAGTCACAGACCGCTCCAAGTCCCGAGTCCTGGGCCAGTGCTCTTTCCTGCAAGGAGAGCCTCACGCAGGGACACCTTTCCTGAGCCCCGCCGTCTCTGTAAAGTGGGAATAATCCCTACCTGAGAGGGCAGGTGTGATTACAACGGAAAATGCGTGCACCTGGACAGAGCTCAGTAACTGTCTTTGCTCCCGGCTGTCTCCTCCCTGGTCCCCAAAGCCATTGCCACGGCTGCGGGCAGGCCCCCCCTCCTCCACTTTTGAATTATAATGACATCAGACAACTGCCGTTCTTTCTCATTCCTTCTGACGGGAGGGGCGACGCAGGTGGAACTGTTTATTCAGGTGACCTACGCTTCATGTCTGCAAAGAATGTGTTTAGTATGTTACTACTGTATGTCGTCATATATAACATGCACGTTTTGGCCAAATTTTTGAGGGAAAAAGAAGGATGCACATTATAAATGCTTATAATGATGATACACCATGGGGGTATAATAATCCCGTGTATAATTCACACGAAAACCATGGGTGCGCATTATACATGGCAAAACACAGCTTTTGTTTGGGTCAAAAGGTGGGGAGGTTACATGATCGATGTTGCACCCTTGGTGGGGTGTTCTCAGCGGAGGGGAGAAGCAATGGGTCAGATGATGCGGAGTGACGGGGAGGCCTTCTGAACACAGGTCTCCGTGGAGAAGAGCGGGGACAGAACGAGGCTGACCACTAACACCATCTCCATAAACAAATAGCCCATGCACACAAGACAATCGTGGTTTACAAGAACAAACCAAAGTAGAAGAATTCCCGTTCTTCTGGGAGGCTGCCTGGGGCCAAGGGGAGTGAGAGAGGGGACCAAGGGTGATGAACAAGGGCACAAATCAACACGCCCTCCGTCACTCGGGCAGGAGAGTGGCCACAGGCAGGGTCCCCTCGGAGAAGGAGTCGGGCAAGGAGGGAGACTTTCTGTTCCACCGTTTATCGGGGTGTCCAACTCATTTTCACCGGGGACCACATCAGCCTCCTGGTTCTCTTCAAAGGGCTGAATGTAATTGCAACTCCTTAACAGTTACGGAGGAGTTACATTTATACAGTCCTAAAAAGATTTCGGCCCTTTGAAGGCAACCACAAGGCTGATGTGGTCCCTGATGGAAATGAGTTGGTTTAAATGCTTGTTAACCAAGTGCATCTGTTACATTGTCTTGCTTGCCACAACAAGAAGTGTATGTGTTTCTGATTAGAGTTGGAATACATACTCATGGTTTAAAAAAATTCAAGTGATAAGGAAAAACACAAGGAAGTTAAATTCCCGAAATCATATCACCTTTTCTCCTGGACTCCCTGGTGACCATCTTTTTCATAAATTCCTCTGTGAATGGACACCCATACCTATGTATAATTCTGCACACATAGGGCCGTACTTAAAATGTGGTTCCTAAAAATTATACTTTTATAGGCAACAGTTACTTCTCCTTCCCCTTCCTGCCACCCCAGGTGCCAGAAGGAGCAACTGAGATCCCCTGTGACCAGGCGCACACACCTGCACGGCGGAGGGGACGTGGATGCTCCACAAAAGGGAGGGATACACGTTACTTGCATCTGCTTTTCTCACTGAACAAGATGGCCTAGAAATACTTCTAAGTCAACCTTCATTTTTCTAATTCATCCTGTATTTTATTTTTTAATATTTTTGAGCAGTTGTTTTGTTAAGCAAATACAAATCATACAAAGGGCCTCCAAGCTCAGAACCCTTCCCCGCTGCCAGTCTGCCTGCAGGCGTGGCTGGGTGGGGCTCCCGCATCGGAACGTCCCTCTCAGCACCTAAAGGACAGCCAACTTGAGTCCATCAGTATTCTGCAAGTCTGTGGGCTAAATCGCTGTAAAAAAGGGGCTCCAGCATTTTAATTTCACTCTTTTAAAATATACACTTAGTGGTGATGCCATGACGGCTGTGAAATAAACCCCTCCGTTAGCTGCTGTGACCGTGAAATGCAGCTTTCTAACTAGTTGGCGGTGAAATTTTCACTGCGTTCAATCACTCGAGGACTGAAATACTAAATAGGAAGGTGACGGTGTGTGGAAAAGCGTACCTGAAACAGCCAGATCACAACCAGCAAGGTCAGCCGCAAAATGGCTGTCCCTTCTAAGGTGGCAATGACCACCCTCCCAAATGGGCTGCGGCCGACTCAAAGCCCACGATTGCTTTAACTTCCCCGATTCGTGCACACGGGACTTTGGACTTTGGGAAATGTAGGGATCGGCGCTGTTCCTTCTGTGCTCTGGGGTGCTGGTGGCAGAAAAGACTCATCCCACAGGCTCACGTGGGGCTTTTTGAGAGACGATGTCTCTCTGGCAGAGGTGGGGGCCCAGGCACAGCCCTGGGACTGCAGGAGGAGATGAGACGTTCCTTCCCTATTCTTCCCTCGTCACAGAAGCCTGACTTTGGTTGGGTGGCAATGCGTTTGGTTAAAAACACCTCCCCGCACTTCTTTGCAGCTCAGTTGGCCATGTGACCCCCTGAGATGAAAGCAGAAGTCTCCAGGGGAGGGGGGAGTAGGGTTCGAGGGGGGAAAAGACAACCACACAAACTTCGCACCTTCATGCAACCAGCCTCTCCGGAGAATGGGCAGGAAAAGGGCAGCCGACTCGGTCACCTAGGAGGAGAGGCGTCACTAAAAAGGGACAGACTAGGCTGACGGGTGCCTTCTGTGCATTTCCCAGCTGGAGTCAAACAGCCCCAACAAAGGATGTCGGAACAGAGCGCTGCAAAGAACCCTGGCTCCAGATGACTCCCTAGAACGTACGTAGGTACCACCCCCAAACTGCTAACTCCTGCATTGTTTTTACTGGAGAAACACAAACCCCCACTGGGTTAAGACACTGTACTCAGCTTTCCATAATATTCAATCAAACACAACCCTAGCTGATGCTGCAGGTTTTAGAAAGGGGCGAAGCTAGTCTGAGAAACCTGCGTCTTCCTCTTCCCAGCGGATCGGCGTGTTGGAGTTCACACTACCCTATGCTCCTTTGACCTGATGCCCGACTGCTCCCACGTGGGCCACCTGGCCTGTACGTAGATGTTACACGTTTTCCCCATCTCAGCCTCTTTTTCTAGAGGATACTTACACCGGTTCTGAGTTTTATATTGCTTAGACTTGACTATTTTCCTGTGATGCTTTTCCATACATTAAATCTTTCTGGGATGAAGAGGAAAAGAATACATATGTGTCTGTCTACGACTCCACACTTTGGTGGGAGGCAAATGTTTCCTGGAGGTGGCAGAACGGTGACAGTCCCATGGGGCTTTGTAAGTGACCTCATAAGAGACAGGTCTGAGGGAGAACATGAAGCTGAAAGGTCAAGTTTTCGAATGATTGACATGGAAAAACAATCCATTTCTGGGCTCTTCCCATTTCACAGTTCACTGGGGATGAGAGAGATCGGGTCAACAGGAATTTGTTTACAGGTTTCCAGTGAAATATCATTGCCTGTGATAAACACTGTCTGAGAGCCTGCTGTGCAGCGGGTGCTGCCCAAGGCAGTTGGGACACAATCAGGGAGTAAAAAAGACAAAATCCCAGCTCCCGTGAAGCTAGCGGCAGAGGAGACACGCGGCACACGAGATATCATACGTTGTACCAGGTGTCAGCAGGTAGGTGCCACGGGGAAAAATGTGGCACCGGTGGCCACTACTGTCTAGCGGACACTCACGAGGTGCCGACGTGCAGAGTGTTTCATACACGTTCTTTCATTTAATCCTCCCAAGGATGTGGTGAGGTCCCACTTCGCAGATAGGGGAACCGAGGCTGGGCGGAGTCAGCTACCAGGTCTTGCCACAGGAGTAGCAGGCGAGGGACCTGGCTGCACCCTGACCACACCCCTGCGGCCCAAGAAAGGTAAGGTGTTCTCACCCATCTGCCATCCTGGTCTAAAGGTGGGTTGAAGCGCCTCCCTTTGGCCATTCTCTGCAGGAACTGAGGGCAGCTGGGGTGGGCTCCGTCACCTCTCCATGGCCTCGCAAGCTCCACACCTGGGAGCCACTCCTTGTCCTGGTCCTCTGCCCGGGACGGGCTCCGGGGAGTGCCCGCTGTTGCCGTAGAAGCAAGCCCACCCATCACAATGGGGCGGGCGTGTGGGTCTTCTCAGCTCTCTGAGAGTTCCTGCCCCGGTTCCCCCCAGGGATAAGGCCGACAGCCAGCGGGCCCCAGCCGAGAGACCCCACAAACAGGTCAGGCAGGTGAGGGCCAGTCTTGAGACGAGGGCAAGCTTTTATCACCCACTAAATCCTTGAATCAATGCTATTTGAGGAGAATGTTCCCATGGTAACCATCTGCCCCAACCTGAGAGTTTTCCAAGAAGTAAATTGAATCTGGGCTGGAGATGACCTTGTCTGCTTGGTGGCATTGCTCTGCCCAAGGACTCAGCTGCCCTCCCGTGGCCCTTCCACAGCCACCTCTGTGTCCCAGCTCAGAGGCCCTGTGCCAGAGGGACTCACTCGCCGCTCGCTCACCTCACTGCACGCCGCTCAGGCCGCCGGGAAGGATGTTCGTGGATGATTATGAAGCGCCAAGTGCCGTGTGAAACGAAACACAGGCGTGAGTTTCTGTTTTATTTCGTTCCCATGGCAAGCTTTGGCATTTATACAGAGAAAACAAGGGGCAGTAGCCAGTGGATGCGGCGCCAGGTCACCGGCCAACTCCAGAGCCGTCGGGCCTCCCTGAGGGCCACCTGGCCCACCCCAGGCTACAAAGGCTGCTCCTGAGAGCTGGCCCTCCCTTCCAGCCTGGACACACAAGTGCCACCTCACTTTTACAGGGTGCTCTCTGCTTCCCTTTCTTTCTCCTTCTTTAAATTGCTGTGCCTTGACAATTCTCTTGGCTGTCCTGGGTAAGTATGAAAGTAACCATCCACAGGGCATTCTGTCCAGCTCTCTCTTTTGCTGAGAAACCATGTCCTTGCCCCCCTCCTTCCCTAATCACTGACCTGGGCGTTCTAACAAGGGTTGCTGGCTTGGGGACAGGGGACCCTCTCTGGCTGTGCACTGGTGGGCACAGAGGTGGGCTCCCAGATGGGGTGCCTGACTGGAACAGTCTTCTTCCTACCATCGAGCCAAAAGTTGACAAACCCTCAGAGGTAAGGCTCCCTCTCTCCTGCCCCCCTCCTGCCAGCCCCAGGAGGCAGCTGTTGTCCTTCTTGTCCCAGAAGTGGCATCTGTGTTCCAGGCAGCAGGGTGGAAGAAGGAACACAGGGTAGTGTCCAGCATATGACACGGGGCCAAGCCCAGCCCCTTGGGTGACGACCAGCTCTTGTCATTGGCTTGGCTGCTTCCTTGTAAGGACGGCTCCTTGCAGGTGCTGCTCAATGCTTCCTGGTGTGCACAGTGACGTCAGTGCATATTGAGTGCTATTACACTTGTGGTTTTATACAGCTTTCACAACGGCCCCAAGGGATGTGCTGCTTATGTCCCTTTTGTGTGCCACTCTGCCCCATCCCCGATTCCCTCTGCTCCCACCCCCACCCTGCTCTGCACGCTGCAGACTGGCCAACAAAGACTCGGCACCTGCTCCCTTGCTCTTCAGCTTTGGTTGGGTCACCCAACAGGAAGTACCAATGGGAACGGAAAGGGCAGGAAGAGGTAGGTCAACGTGCTGTGCAGGTTAGTGGTAACAACCAGCTCTGTATGGAAAAATGCCAGTCTGACCTGTAGCGGTGTTTGCCAATACCCAGGGTGTAAATACTTCTAGCATGGTGGATTTTAAGCTACTAACATAGAGTTGGGGAGAGATGGGACATAGGCCAAAACCAAGGCAAGGGTTAGTAATTATTTCTCCTTACAGATGAGGAAACTGAGTCTCAGAGGAGTGACAGGACTCACCCACAGTCACGCAGCTAGTATGTAGCAGAGCCCACACTAGCAGCCAGATGTACTGAGGCCAAGTTCAATGCCAGCATCAAACAGGGTGTATTCTGCTGCATCTCCCTGATCCTGTTAAATTGTTGGGCAGTGACTTTGGGGGGGTTGCTTTTTATTCCTCTTCTTTAATCTGCACAGAGCAGTGCCTACCTCTTAGCCAAGAGCCCTGGCCACATGAGGCCAAGGGTCAGATGGCTGGCATTGTGGGCTATTCCTGTGGCCCTTGCTGTGGCAGCAAAGCCAGGCAACGCCACACAAAGAAAGGGAGGGCTGGTACCCAGCACGGCTTCTCCCTTAAACTGAAAGTAAAGCAACAGGAGGGAGGAAGACGAAGACTCATAATTGAAAAACCTAAAAGCAGTGTTGTTCCCAACAGTGTTTCCAGCACATTCCCTTCGTCTCCATCGATGGAGCAGAAAGTCTGTTAGAACTACAGTCGCATTTCTCAGTGTCTCCTGCACTTCATCCGTATTTAATCTCATACTCTGTTGAAGGAGGTATGTGGCCCCTGGTTAGGATGGGTCCCAATTTCCCCTTGTGAATGCTTGTTTGAAATTCTAACACATTTATCCAAGACAATTAAAACTGAATCAAGTAAACTTGGCCAGGAAAAATAAAATTTGATTTCTCTTCGGCTAGGATTTCTTGGTCCCAGCTTGGGACAGGGCTATTCATTACTGATGTTGTTTTCAGAGGTTTGGATTACAGGGCTGAACTCCGAGACTCATCATTCTGAAAACAAGTCCAGGAGCCCTCAGGGTCCTGGGGCCGGGACCAGCGGAGGGTCAAGCCCCATCCCCCACAAGGAATGCAGGGGCCCAGGGTGACCCAAGAGGGCAGCTGTGATGGCACCGTGGCACATGGCAGTGTTTATTCATTCAATGGATACGCACAGAGCATTCACCATGTGCCGGCAATGGTTTTGCACAGAGCTAAGGCAGTCACCAAAACCAGTTCTTCATAACTAGCAAATCAAGAATGTACCAATGCATCAATGACCAACACCCCAACTTGTGGATGAGCCAAAACTTTTCAGGGAGCTATCCACAACATTTGTACCCAGCTGTTTCATCTGGTGTATTCTTTAACACGGTGGCTGTTGTGCACCTTGATGGTGACGTCCCTTCCCCATGCAGTGTTAGGATGTTACAAAAGGTGGGTGTGTCTATCTCTTCCACGCGTTTTCAGTACAGGGCGCCATTTCTTGTTTTAACGAACCACTTGCTGTCTTTTGCAGGGCAGAAGGTGGTGGAATTGTGGGTATCGTGCGGCAATGTTTTCATGCAGGGGTCTGCACATACCTACCTGAGGGGCCCCCGCAAAGCCCAGACCCTGCACACAGGCATGCTTCCGTCTGTCCTTCCACCGAATGCAAGTTTCACCTTCCCATTCAAGTCTGCACATCCTGGACATCCTAACCTGCATATGGGGAAAGTTAGCCCACGTGCATGTGAACCGTTGAGCATCTGAGAAATTCTCAGGCACCTGAATTATACAACACAAGCTCACCGCACCCTGCAAGCTAAGCTGTGTGGATTCTTTCTGCAAAGAGCGACCCAGTTGAGGTGACTCAGTCGCACTTTTTTTTATTATGATTCACAGCTCATATGGTACTGATGGAAATTGTCATGAATGCACCAAACATGCCATCTTAAAAGGTACTTGAGCATCTGTGACGTGAAGCACATTTTTGGTTTTACCCCTTGTTGCAAACTACCTGGAAAATTAACTGCATCTCTGCTCCTTCCATGCAAGAAAACCATCCTTGGACCGAGACAAGCAAGACTGATTGAAATACAAGAAGTGTAACTTGACCAACTTGAAAGTTGATACAGTGGAAAGGCAGAAACTCAGTGTAATGTTTATGAAAACTCCTGACTCTATTAACGTGCACAGCAGCCTGAATTCCAATGACAAGACACGCTGTCACTGCCATGGAAGTTGAAATAACCGGCTGAAATGTAAATTGCTATAAATTTTTACATCGTTTCTAGAGGAGCTTTTGGTGAACTGATCATCCAGAGAACTGGTCACTTGGAGAAGAGCTGGCACCTGGCCAGCTGTCCTGGGCCCAATGAGAATAATAAGTACAGCTGCTGCCTTTGTGAGGCCGAGTCTCTCGGGGGAAGACAGACATTGTTACGCAAATAACTGGTTATAATTGTGAGAGGTACAGGGTGCTCCGAGAGCATGGGACAGAGGGACCTCAACCCAGCAGAGAGGTGAGTAGGAAGGTGGTGGTGACATGAACGAGTGCCGGGAGCCCTGGCATGCACTGCCATGAGCCCAGGGGACACAGGAACACATTCCAGCAGATGGAGAGCCTGTCAGAGGCCTTGATCTTGGGAGGAGCTTGGCTCACTCAAGAAACGGAAAGGAGGCCATCCTAAATGACAACGGATGGTGCAGATCAGAGCAGGGGTCGTGGGGGGAGCAGAAGGCGGTCCGAGGGCTGTGGATAGGCCCCTTGCTTTCTGTGACCTTGACCATCAGGTCAATGTTAACAGGCAGAAACATGGGGAGCATGCAACAAGAGCAACAAAAAGCCAAAGGAGAACTTTGGCTTGTTCAGGAAAAGCACCTTGAGAAATAAGATTTAGCCCTGGCTGGTGTAGCTCAGTGGATTGAGTGCAGGCCTGCGAACCAAAAGATCGCCGTTCGATTCCCAGTCAGGGCACATGGCTGGGTTGCAGGCCAGTTCCTAGCAGGGGCCAGTTCCCAGCAGGGGACACACGAGAAGCAACCATACATTGATATTTTTCTCCCTCTCTCCTTCTCTTCCCTTCTAAAGATAAATAAATAAAATTTTTTGAAAAGAAATAAGATTTACCCTAAATGCAGTAGGTGCGTAGTTTATTCTTTCCCTAAATTCTGAAAAAGACAGGTGGGAGTATTTAGTTCTGACTCCTGTCTCACTCCGTGCCAGGGTTTTTATTCCTCCCCCACTTCCACATTTCCGTGTTTTTGCCCCTGGAAAGACCGTGGCTTTTCTCCACTCACAGTGTGAATGGGAGGGTCCTCTGGAAACACAGAATGAGAGGCAACCACAATCACCAGTGTGGTTCAGAGCAGAGACCTCCCAAAACAGAAAATGCCAGCCTCCAGGACTGCGTAGCAAAACAGCAAAATAAATATCTATTTTTCAGCTGAAGAGAAAATGAACAGTGTCTTGGAACACAAGGGGAAGTTTGTTTGTACCCCATTCGGGGAAAGGAGCAGAGGA